ATTTATATTATTTAGTCTAGGTATTTAATTTTACCACCCCATTTCGGGTGTCAAATATTAAAACACACCTACTCATATTTTATATAATTTTCAAAGCCCCAATTTGGGCGCCTAATATGCAGACGCGCCTGCTGCCGCCTCTCTAGGCTGTCAAAATGTTGCCCAAAAGGCTAAAGCTGAGGCTGACTCCGAAGCTGAGGCTGAACTAAAGTTGTTGCAATTCTGAGAATATTTTACGCTTGTTGAAGTTGACGACAACGTGGAAGCCACCGCCAACGATGTTGATGTCGATGCTGGCTCCTCGGCAGCAAGCCTGAAGCTTGTTGAGGTGTGAAAGAGAAGGAGAGCGAGAGAGTGAAGAGGAGGAGGGAGAGGCAGCGGTCGCAGTGCTATGGATTCGTGTTTTGTTTTCTTTGCACTTCAGTTGTATCACATCAATGGCCATTGTGTACGTCAACTTTGATGTTTCGGCAAAAGTTGTGAAGTGTGAGGTTTTAGACGTTCTTATTGCACTTTGCCGCAACCAGCTGCTAGCGAGCCGGCGGTCAGAGCTGGCTATCGCTGCTCGGACTCGAAGAGTCCGAAACTACCGACTTGACAGGTGAAGAATGCCAAAAAGAAAAGAAAGAAAAAACGATTCAAGTGGCTCTGTTGCCCGGCTTGGTATGGTCCGACCTGCCGTGTTGGCCACTTCAAAATCAACTCAAGCCTTTTAGACGGAAAGCGCAACCAACAGCAACAACAGCAACAACAACTGATGGCTGGAAAAATCGACACAAGGCAGGAGTCAAAGTCGAGTCGAGTCGAGTCAAGTCGAGTCTGTTGCTTGATTTCGTATTTATTTTGTTTACACGTTTCCTTTGAATTTTCTGTTCTAATTGAGTGAGAAGTGCGATGAGCTTGCAGTTTTCCATCACACATCCAGAGAGCTCCATCATCATCATCATAATCATCATCGCCTTCATCATTATCGGCATTATTATCAACATCATCTGTTGGAACGTTTTTACGCGGTTTTAATTGGATTTTCATACCTGTCCCGCGATGTTTGATTGGTGTTTGTATAATGATCTTGCAATATTCTCCAACCATGCCCATGCCCATGCCCAAGCCCAGCCCCGATCCAGATCCAGATCGCTGTCGAACAGCTGCTCTTGTTATTGTTATTGTTCGACTCGTAGAGCCCGTGAAATTTAACACACATCATCGTGTTCGCTCCTCAAACGTCAAACAGCTCTGCTCTGCTCTCCTCTATCTCTCTCTCTCTCTCTCTGTCTCTCCCTTCTCTCTCTGCGCTCCTTTCTCCATCGCAACACTAAGAAAATAAAAGTTCTTCAGCGCGCGTATTATTGGTTGATTGTACGTGACTTTGTTTATTTAATTTATGTTATTATTGCCTGATTAAGTATGGCCAGGGCCACAAAAAAAAAAAAAAAGGGTTTCTGTTATTTCATTAAAAATTGATTAGTGTTAAGGTACACAAACTTGCTGAGCTAAATAACAATGTAATTACGCAGAGCTCGGGCGTGGACCAACAAAAGAAATTGGAGCTTGAAAGGAGCTGCTGACTGGCTATTACAGGGTATTGTTGTGCCAGCAGCAGGAAATATGAGTGGACAGAAATAAAATGTGTGAAACAGGCAGCAGGAAATGTAATTTGTGAGCATTCTGAAAGTTAGAAACGAATCAATTGATGATTTTATAAAGGTATTGCACATGCTTTCTTGTTTATTATTTATTATTTTAATTTTATTGACTTATTTTTTATTTTCTATAAATTATAA